CCCTTGTTAGACTATGCAGGTCAGGTCATTCCAGCCACCTTGGCTTAATCATACTTTCACAGTCTATTCGCGATAATGTTTCGCCCTACCATGAACGCTTGAAAATATGACAAGCGCAAGTCATCTGCAGCTGTCTTCAAGGAAACCACGTTCCTACAGCATCACGTTATCTTTCTTTGACGGTTAAAGTTGTCAATCAGGCCTACGGCCTTGGCATTTTGTCTAGGCAGTATGGACAGTGTGGTGAAAGTAAAGTCTTGTATAAGTTGTAGCGGTAATAGGGACAAGATTCTTCAGTCATTTGGCGGAATTCTGTCTATCTTGTTTCGACTTACCGGCTCTAATTTTAAGATCTTACTTATTCTTTAGCTCCGATCATAGAAATTGACATTTAACTTTTGACACTGAAATCACTTTCCAGCATACTTTTCTTCTCGTTGTATTTTGACGGTCAAGTTTTTATAACCGTAAATATTCTGGAATAATATTTACAAATCCCTGTTACCTCCATGAGTCACGTCTTTTTACCAGGAAATATACCTCCATGGTACATGTACACATACACAGTGCGTGTACTAGCGCTCAGCATGTATCCCACGTATACATGTACATGTACATTGTACAGTACTGTACTGTACACGTACAGCGTAATTATTCTGATGCAGCAGTCGCACGAGCAAAGCGCACGTGGTGTGGCCGGTTCCGTACAATGCCGTCGCACAGACCTGACGCCAGGGTAGGATTTGGAGATAAATGTAATTTGAGACATCGGTTTTCATTGGCTCTTTTATGGACAAGAAATGGTAACGTTGCAAACGGACCAATGACATTCAATGTGTGAAGAGTATTCTTGCGCGGTTCAGCGTGTGTCAGCGATCGCTGTTTTCCAAAAGTATAGACGGTAGATAGACTACAGCGTTACCAACACGGTTCGCAAAGAAGCCATTTATTGGGAAGGAGAGGGACATATTAAGTTGATCTACAAAGGCAGTAAAAACTCATGGCGATGAGAATGGTTGGAACGTGGAAACAAACTCTGGATGATTTTTTTCCGAGTTCATTTGGAAATTAAAGGAGCCGGTCAAAGCAAGTGGTACAATACTGAAATAAACCATGCATCATTGGAAAAATGCGATCGTGACTAGCATCAGCCCCAATCAAGTTAAGGAAGACGAATTACCGTATATCGGGTGATATT